GCCGGATACTTTGGAAGAGCAAAAAGACAGGACATAAAGTGGTCACTGATAGTCAGTCTTGTGAGGAAAATGTTTTCCAGTGACTATGGAAACTTAGACGGCAAAGTGCATCAGGTTGATTTCTATGGAAATGACGGAGTCTGTCTGTTCAAATATTTTGTAAACAAACATGATCCTCAGAGAGTTTACAGCCTGTCCGTCCAGGTAATCAACATTATATGTTTCGTTATAGTGGCTGTTTCTTACATAATCATTAATACAACAACCATCAACACTTCAAACCTGCTGACAAAGACTAATAACCCCACTGCTAAGTTGATCAGAAAAAGAAATAAAAAACTGCAAAGAAAAATTGCAGCAATTATCGCAACGGATTTTGTTTGTTGGATCCCTTTTGTTGTTATAAGCGGTTTGCACTTCCTCGAGGTTACAGATGGTTCTAAACTTTATGGAATCTTCTCTATTGTAATACTCCCTATTAACTCCGTTATCAACCCGTTCTTGTACAGTAAATATATAAGTTTATATGCTGTTAAACTCAACCCTACAAGTTATCTTGTGTCCAGATACTCTCAATTCAGAAGAAGAAGACAGTTAAGATGTCAAAAAGAGGGAAGAAGTGAAGAAATTCAGATGCAAGACATGACTGGAAGCAGCGATAGTAAAGTGAACACTACGGGTATCCAGGTGACGCCTAGCAGCGATAGTAAAGTGAACACTACGGGTATCCAGGTGACGCCTAGCAGCGATAGTAAAGTGAACACTACGGGTATCCAGGTGACGCCTAGCAGCGATAGTAAAGTGAACACTACGGGTATCCAGGTGACGCCTAGCAGCGATAGTAAAGTGAACACTACGGGTATCCAGGTGACACCTAGCAGCGATAGTAAAGTGAACACTACGGGTATCCAGGTCACACCTAGCAGCGATAGTAAAGTGAACACTACGGGTATCCAGGTGACGCCTAGCAGCGATAGTAAAGTGAACACTACGGGTATCCAGGTGACGCCTAGCAGCGATAGTAAAGTGAACACTACGGGTATCCAGGTGACGCCTAGCAGCGATAGTAAAGTGAACACTACGGGTATCCAGGTGACGCCTAGCAGCGATAGTAAAGTGAACACTACGGGTATCCAGGTGACGCCTAGCAGCGATAGTAAAGTGAACACTACGGGTATCCAGGTGACGCCTAGCAGCGATAGTAAAGTGAACACTACGGGTATCCAGGTGACGCCTAGCAGCGATAGTAAAGTGAACACTACGGGTATCCAGGTGACGCCTAGCAGCGATAGTAAAGTGAACACTACGGGTATCCAGGTGACGCCTAGCAGCGATAGTAAAGTGAACACTACGGGTATCCAGGTGACGCCTAGCAGCGATAGTAAAGTGAACACTACGGGTATCCAGGTGACGCCTAGCAGCGATAGTAAAGTGAACACTACGGGTATCCAGGTGACGCCTAGCAGCGATAGTAAAGTGAACACTACGGGTATCCAGGTGACGCCTAGCAGCGATAGTAAAGTGAACACTACGGGTATCCAGGTGACGCCTAGCAGCGATAGTAAAGTGAACACTACGGGTATCCAGGTGACGCCTAGCAGCGATAGTAAAGTGAACACTACGGGTATCCAGGTGACGCCTAGCAGCGATAGTAAAGTGAACACTACGGGTATCCAGGTGACGCCTAGCAGCGATAGTAAAGTGAACACTACGGGTATCCAGGTGACGCCTAGCAGCGATAGTAAAGTGAACACTACGGGTATCCAGGTGACGCCTAGCAGCGATAGTAAAGTGAACACTACGGGTATCCAGGTGACGCCTAGCAGCGATAGTAAAGTGAACACTACGGGTATCCAGGTGACGCCTAGCAGCGATAGTAAAGTGAACACTACGGGTATCCAGGTGACGCCTAGCAGCGATAGTAAAGTGAACACTACGGGTATCCAGGTGACGCCTAGCAGCGATAGTAAAGTGAACACTACGGGTATCCAGGTGACGCCTAGCAGCGATAGTAAAGTGAACACTACGGGTATCCAGGTGACGCCTAGCAGCGATAGTAAAGTGAACACTACGGGTATCCAGGTGACGCCTAGCAGCGATAGTAAAGTGAACACTACGGGTATCCAGGTGACGCCTAGCAGCGATAGTAAAGTGAACACTACGGGTATCCAGGTGACGCCTAGCAGCGATAGTAAAGTGAACACTACGGGTATCCAGGTGACGCCTAGCAGCGATAGTAAAGTGAACACTACGGGTATCCAGGTGACGCCTAGCAGCGATAGTAAAGTGAACACTACGGGTATCCAGGTGACGCCTAGCAGCGATAGTAAAGTGAACACTACGGGTATCCAGGTGACGCCTAGCAGCGATAGTAAAGTGAACACTACGGGTATCCAGGTGACGCCTAGCAGCGATAGTAAAGTGAACACTACGGGTATCCAGGTGACGCCTAGCAGCGATAGTAAAGTGAACACTACGGGTATCCAGGTGACGCCTAGCAGCGATAGTAAAGTGAACACTACGGGTATCCAGGTGACGCCTAGCAGCGATAGTAAAGTGAACACTACGGGTATCCAGGTGACGCCTAGCAGCGATAGTAAAGTGAACACTACGGGTATCCAGGTGACGCCTAGCAGCGATAGTAAAGTGAACACTACGGGTATCCAGGTGACGCCTAGCAGCGATAGTAAAGTGAACACTACGGGTATCCAGGTGACGCCTAGCAGCGATAGTAAAGTGAACACTACGGGTATCCAGGTGACGCCTAGCAGCGATAGTAAAGTGAACACTACGGGTATCCAGGTGACGCCTAGCAGCGATAGTAAAGTGAACACTACGGGTATCCAGGTGACGCCTAGCAGCGATAGTAAAGTGAACACTACGGGTATCCAGGTGACGCCTAGCAGCGATAGTAAAGTGAACACTACGGGTATCCAGGTGACGCCTAGCAGCGATAGTAAAGTGAACACTACGGGTATCCAGGTGACGCCTAGCAGCGATAGTAAAGTGAACACTACGGGTATCCAGGTGACGCCTAGCAGCGATAGTAAAGTGAACACTACGGGTATCCAGGTGACGCCTAGCAGCGATAGTAAAGTGAACACTACGGGTATCCAGGTGACGCCTAGCAGCGATAGTAAAGTGAACACTACGGGTATCCAGGTGACGCCTAGCAGCGATAGTAAAGTGAACACTACGGGTATCCAGGTGACGCCTAGCAGCGATAGTAAAGTGAACACTACGGGTATCCAGGTGACGCCTAGCAGCGATAATAAAGTGAACACTACGGGTATCCAGGTGACGCCTAGCAGCGATAGTAAAGTGAACACTACGGGTATCCAGGTCACACCTAGCAGCGATAGTAAAGTGAACACTACGGGTATCCAGGTGACGCCTAGCAGCGATAGTAAAGTGAACACTACGGGTATCCAGGTGACGCCTAGCAGCGATAGTAAAGTGAACACTACGGGTATCCAGGTGACGCCTAGCAGCGATAGTAAAGTGAACACTACGGGTATCCAGGTGACGCCTAGCAGCGATAATAAAGTGAACACTACGGGTATCCAGGTGACGCCTAGCAGCGATAGTAAAGTGAACACTACGGGTATCCAGGTGACGCCTAGCAGCGATAGTAAAGTGAACACTACGGGTATAATCCAAGGCACGTGACCAGTATCCAGGTCACGCCTTTATAAGTTTAGAAGCACGACCCTAATTTAATATTTTGAAACATGTTTCAACTCAACACTGATTTCTTCTGGACAAAATCCATTAAGTCACTGTCGAAGTATCCAATGCCCGTTTACAGACCGCGTACTTACCAATTAATCATGAGTAATCATTTAACTTTCAATTTTTAGAAACACATTAATCTTTTAATGCTAGGAATTTGAGTATAGATAATTTTGGTGAGCTAAATGAAATTAAATACACAGCAAAGTGCAGCATGCGTTGGGAGAAGGTGTATCGGTGCCTATATTAGAGGCATTATAATATACCATTTTTGGTATGTGATCCTGTTTAATAATAACAAGTAAATATTATAATTACAATTATAATTATAACAACCATGTGATAGAAAATCATGCGTTACATGCTTAAACCGCCTTTCCTTCGACAACTATTCATTTATTGCTTGTTTAATTTGTTTTTTGTGTTTAATTTATGATTATTTGTTTCTGAGATTCTGTGATTAAATTTATTTTGTTGATTGTAATGTTGTGATATTGCATAATTTATTGTAATTAATATAATATATGTTTCAGAATTATGTAATGTAACGTTATGGAAATATTTTAAGCGGGCATATCCTGTCCAAACCCAGGATGCACTAAATGAAGAATTCGTTGTTACTTTGTTTGAAAAGCATTAATATAAGTGATACGAAAAGTTTTTTTAGCACTGACTTCTTCAGTCTTTTGAAAACATGTTATCCTCTCAAGGACAAAATCTCTCGGATAATGATAATTTATATAATCATATACATGACATATCTATACATATCTAATATCTATGTTCTGTATCTATAAGCGAATTCTTATCATTTTTTTCTGGATGTGCTTGACAAATCCATTAAGTCACTGTCAAAGTATCCAATGCCCGTTTACAGACCGCGTACTTACCAATTAATCATGAGTAATCATTTAACTTTCAATTTTTAGAAACACATTAATCTTTTAATGCTAGGAATTTGAGTATAGATAATTTTGGTGAGCTAAATGAAATTAAATACACAGCAAAGTGCAGCATGCGTTGGGAGAAGGTGTATCGGTGCCTATATTAGAGGCATTATAATATACCATTTTTGGTATGTGATCCTGTTTAATAATAACAAGTAAATATTATAATTACAATTATAATTATAACAAGTGATTATTATAATTATAATATAATAATTATAATATTATAATTACAATTATAACAAGTTATTATTATAATTATAATTATAATATTATAATTACTACAATTATAATTATAATTATAACAAGTAATCATGTTACCTTTGAATTCCGCCGCCCTGAACCGTAAGCAATGTTGATGAGGTGTGTAGACGGTCCAGTGTACTGTACCAAGCTGGGGGAGGAACTTGTACTCTTACTTCTACATAAAACTGGAGGTGTTTTTCCTTTCTTAGCTGCTTTTTCCTGGGAAATATTAAACATTTTATAAAATGCACCTCTCCTCCTCTATTACAATAACCAAGTCACTAGTTACTATAGTTACAATAGTAACTATAGTAACCAAGTCACTAGTAACTATAGTTACAATAGTTACAATAGTAACTATAGTAACGAAGTTTAAGCAGTTTACCCCACTCACATATTGGCTTATAGCTTGAGCAGTGAGGTTAACGATCTGTTTGTGCTCCATAGAGTTTATGTGGGGAGGGGGCCGTCTGCATTTGGTTCTGGGGGGAACGTACCGTGGAACTGCTTGTTTGCTGAAATAAGTTATGGAGAACTGCTTGTTTTTTAGGTGTTATTTTGGGATTGTTATAGTATAAACTCGGAGTTTTAAGAGGAAACATGGATGAGTTACAGCTAGCTTAAAACATTTTAAATGCTATTTATATCCCCTATTTTATATAACGATATGTCTTGAAAAATATCCATGCAAAATGCAGATTCATTACTCATCTTAACTTACATAGTAGTAGTAGTTAACTTACTTATCGTAAATGCCCGGCATTGCGGAATGTGAGGAAATAGGATGTTTTGTCATGTTTCTCACAGGTACCCAGATCTAAACTCGAATACAGTACTTTAGTTTTATTTGATTTAATATTAGATAAAGAAAAATTGTGTTTCCTCGTCGGATTGGTTGTAGTGAATTTATTACGTCGAATAAGCTGTTCATCTTAGTAAGTTGTGAGTGGAAAATCTGAATTATTTACACTTTTCAATTGTTTATGTTCATTATATTCTATTCAACTCTATTCATTCATTTGTTAATGATTCTTTCTTTAAGGATCGTATTATCAAGATTTACAGTCATTTGTTTGAATTTTTCATGTTATATCAGAGCTGGCAAAGCATCAAGTCTGTTGTGATTGGAAGGTTCTGTGATATGCACTACCTAATGTTTTCCGACGAGGTGTTTTTATCATGATACAAATTAACGGTACACTCACCACAGCATCAAATCGTATACAGGTTCCTGCAAAGCTTCATATTGAAAGAGAGATAACCATTTTAGGAAACCCAAAAATATGGCAAAATTAATTGAGTTTAACTTGAAATGACAAACTTATTAAGGTAATGTTACCTGTGTATTTTCAATCTCTCCAGAAGCAATCAGTTTTGCAACATCTGCCCTGAGAAAGAAAGAAAATATTATTATTTCATATTTTAGCATTCATGTTTACTATAAGTTGCGCCAGGACTCGGGCCAAGTGGCCCAGGCTCAATAGGCGTATTGCGTTCGGCCCCTAGAGCAACTATCAAACTGTCAATTTCTGCATGCTCAGGACATAATCTTGACCGTTTTTGATTATTTTAGACTGCTACAATGACAATACAATTGATAAAAGTGAATAAGATGACGTTAAAAACAGCAGAATTCAGGAATCCATAGGATCTAGTGAAGTTTAAATGTGTGCGTGCTCCATATTAATGACAAGCACCCTAGCTTATTCCGGCAATGATTGACATTAAACTGTGCATGTTTATGGTCCACCTCTTAATTCGAAATAAGCATAAGGTAATAATGTCAATCATTCACCATATTAGCATATTACTGTATATCATGCTGTTTGTCAAAAACTTACTTTAGCTCTATCTCTTCCAGTTCCCGAGCATAAAGCTGAAAAATTAATTGTCTTGAGGTGGGGGAATTCATAAACTATTTCATAATCAGGCATGTCAGACATATCAGGCATGTCAGGCATGTCAGGCATGTCAGGCATGTCACTACTATTGAATGATGAGGTAGCTTTTATATAACGATGAACATCACAGTTCAAATTGAGATGAATAACTGTGTAAATAGGCACATGATAATATTAATGGAACTAACATAGTTGAGCCGTTTTAAGAAGTCATGAAGCTCCTCGTTTGGAATTACTTTGTTTCTCGATATCTGGAATGTAAACGTTTATTAGTACTTTAGTATGCAATCTTGTCACAATGGTACAAGGAAGCTAGTAACTTAGTAATGGTATAACTGTTTAAGTTACTTGTTTATAATGTAGCAACTCTCTCACCATGCACGACGACCATGATGGTTGAGTATGTTTTGCTATTGATGCTGCTGACAAGTCAAAACCAGCTTCTCTTCTTCTCCTGTCAGCGGACTTATTTCTGAATTGGACTGAATATCAAATTTTTTTGCATGAAAATTTTCTACACGAAATTGATCATAATCAAGGTTTTGAAAAAGTCACACCAATGCCCAATAACCACAATTTCACAAATTATAGCCTTGATAAAGTTCGAATCGATACAAACATTTTGCCGGATCTGTTCATCTGTTTGTATTTGCGTAGATCACATGAGTTAGCTACAACATCATTCCTCGGCTACAGTGATGAAATAAATAATAATGGGGTACAGGAAGCAGAACTTATAAGGAAATTCAAATTTTAAGGAAACACAAATTAAATTTGGGTCTTAAACAAATTAAATCGTATAATATAGACTCATAACGCTTCTGTTAACTGGCTGCCTATGTTAAACTTGTAAAATTAGAATTAATTGATAGTCTATTATAATCGTCATTTGCAAACAATCTTACTATATATGTATAAAGCGAGACGATATCTTACTATATATAAAGCGAGACGATATATATATTTATTTATCCGTGCCATTTTGCTGACACCACGGCATCAACTTTAACGCGAATTTCTGCAAAAAACCGTAAAAGATATACAACTGAAACTTTTTTGACTGGGTCAAATGCTTTAATGGCCTCCAAATCATAATGAAAAAATAAAAAATTGGCCAAGAAATAGGAGTTTTAGAGCCCAAAATTTGGTACCCCAAGTGGTGTCAAAAACGCGAATTAAATAGGTAATAATTGTTTTAGTCTCTTGAGTCTTGACACCATTTTAGGGTTAGACGGGTTCCTGCTAGTATATATAATATTATATATATGGATCCGTGCCATTTTACTGACACCACATATATACAACTGAAACTTTTTTGACTGGGTCAAATGCTTTTATGCTTTTCAAATCGGCATGAAAAAATACCAAACGTTACCAAACGTTGAGGAATAAATGGGCAACTTCTGACCAGGCATTAGGGCCTAGGGGTGGTAATTTTGGAGCTCAGAGGTGGCGGTATGTTATGGCACCACCTTGAGGCTTGAAGTGTACTTTACTGAATAATGAATGAGTCTGGTCAATAATATATATAATATAACTCTAAAACTCTGGTCACAAGAGCAACTGCCTAAACGTACAGAAGTGGAAAAAAATACTATCAGTCCTTAATGCTCGTAAGGGTCTGCCCACATTACCTGGGGACCTCAGGCTATCATGTTCATAAACATATATGTATAGAGATTAGGCGGAATGACAGGCTGAGCGCGGCCCAGTAACTGCCCACACTACGCCATGTGGCGACGGGCCACATGGCGTGGGTCAAAAGGCACAGTGTGTTAAGAGCTCCCGCCATGTGGCCCGTCTACCTAAACACACTGTGCCACTTGGCGTGGATTTAGCAAGGGGAATAGAGGCACGGATTTTAAAAATCCGTGCCTCTATTCCCCGAGAGTTTCCACACCAACTGGCGGGAGCTCTAAACACACTACACGCCTTGTTATGTGAATCCGGTGACTAGTGGAGGGAGCTCTAAACACACTGTGCCTTTTGACCCACGCCATGTGGCCCGTCGCAACATGGCGTAGTGTGGGCAGGAAATCTGTGCCTCTGAATAGAAGTACAGATTTGCTAAATCCACGCCAAGTGGCACAGTGTGTTTAGGTTGATCGGGCCATGTAGCCCGTCGCCACATGGCGTAGTGTGGGCAGACCCTAATAAATAGATTCATTCATTGTCATAAAACTCTTAACCATACATGTGACCCGTAAAATAATTTAAATTGGTCTATACGGGTAAGCCCCCCTTAAACGTCACCTGGTTTTTGGGCCCAGATTGCCGAGTTAAGGCTAAATTTACAGGGTTCTGAAGTGTCTAGGAATAATATTTAAACCTTTTTCTAGCCTGCCAGGAAGATTTGGAAATTTGAAAATAAAATAGACTACTGTATAAAATTCTCAATATAAACTTTATTAACAATAGTTAATTAATCAAAAACACACAATATCTTTCATAATATTGTAGTATATGCTATAATATTAAAACTGTTTAGTTGAGTTTAGGTAACAGGATTTAACTGTAATAGCACCTATGCAGTATTATCCATTGTTGAGATGAAGCCATTTTTCGTCCGGTCTTGACTAACCTGGCTCACGATACATATGCTTCATCCGGTCTCACTAATAATAGGGATGGTGTAGTAGATGGAATATGACACACTGTTTACAGTTTTATTTCTGTTTGAAAGAATTCTTTTGCATCCCTTGTTATTTCAACCGCTAAATCAAAGAACTCGCGAAGTCTGCTCCACGCGATATCAACATTGAGTTCCCACCATTATAGCCCAGCTGACGACGATTAACACATGTTTATTGAAAGCTTCTACAAGTTAAACCATCGTATCTCTTATATGTTTCTAACCCAACTCCATCCAGCATTATAGCCATGGTTTAAGATGTTGTGGAAAGGGGAGCTCTGAGAAGCTCACTCATGCTGTCCCTTTTATTTGGTTTTATATTATGACAGAAAATAAGCAGGTGAAGTGAGTTTTGCTCCCCTGGTCCATATTCACACAGTGGAGAATCAAATTTACTGCTGTTGGATCGGTGAAGAAATTCATTCATATCTTACTATATATGGATGGATATATGTGTTTATCCGTATCATTTTACTGACACCATGGCATCAACTTTAACGCTACAAACTTTTTTGACTGGGCCAAATGCACTTTAAATGTCTTTAAAATCCCCTCAATTATGATCGCAATAAGAACATTTTACTTCACATCGCTTTTTGCTCCCATTACAAGAACACTTGAATTTAACAGTTATTTTTTATTAACGTTTTATTAACATCCCTTCACCTCAGAATAGAATTTGAGAACATATCGTCGACTGGAAAAACAGCGGATGCAGGTGTAAACGAATTTGAAGCAGGATTTGGACAATTTTTCGTCGAGAGAGCACTAAGATTTGGATATTTGTAAAGAGGTCAACCATATTTGTTTGATATATGACAGTGATTCTGGGTTTCATTATTCAATACTGCAAGCTTATTTTTAGTTATTCACTGTCATCTGTCAGAAAATATGGATGTCATCCCCATTTATAGTACCCAGATATATACAATGCATTAACGTTAACAGTTAACACGACTAATAAAATCAAACAACAAACTTTAAAACCAACAAAACGCCTCACTAAATGGTTAACAAACAGCACATTAACCTTTTTTTGTTAAAAATTTTGAATCTCGAACATTTTATTGTTATACAGAGGACTGATTTGTCATACGTTGTATACCCCTGTATCGTCCTGTATCGTCCTGAAACGACCGTGGGTGTCACAACGTGATACAAGGACTAATGGTATGGGGTTCCCATTGCTACTAAAATATGTAGCAGCACAAACAATGTTAGCATTTAAAATGTTTCGAGTAAACAATTTACGCGTTTTTTAATTATCTGGGGGAACGGGAGACTATAAGTAATTTTAGGTTTTGAGACACTCCTCACTATTTGAAATGATACTCTACAGTATACTGCAAAGTTAAATCTGGAAACATCTACCCGAAAGTGAGTATGACAGTGGTTCGAGATGACTTTGACGGATGTTACTCGTCTAAATTTCTTCGAAGTAGCGCGCGCCGCTTTCTTCTCGAAATGTTAAATGGCCCGATGGCAAGTGCTACGAAGCAGCGCGCGCCGGGCCAGACCATTAACAATGGTCAAAAGATGATTGTATCTTTTAAGTAGTATAGTGTCATGGTTTGGACCTGCATTCGAGCTCTATCCGAGACACATTTTACTAAAATGTCATTTTAGCACAGTTGACTAATCTACCACAACTTTAGTCGGAGGTTTCAAGTTCGAATCCCAGCCGGAGCCATTCTTTTATTTGACGAAAATGTTGACACAGTTGACTAATCTGCCACATTTTAGCTGAAGGTTACAAGTTTGAATCACAGCCGTAGCCATTCTTTTTATTTGACAAAAATGTCAACACAGTTGACTAATCTGACACATTTTAACCGGCCGGGGCCACAAGTTCGAATCCCAGTCGGAGTCGTTCTCCAATGTGATTACATTATTATGGTACAAATTTTAACCTAGTTTAACCCATCAATCAATTTAACCCTATATCATATATACGTAATATAACGATACAGATGTATCAACTTAACATGACGTTCGTCACACAACAAAGGCCGTTAACAGTATATAGTAATTGTATACATGTTCACGTAATAACAATACTGTTGAAATGATATGGTAGCGTAATGAGAAAGCACTTTTCAGGACGGTTACTCAATAGTACCAAGATTGTACCGTCATTGTATAGTATAGTTACGGTAACAGCTGTGTTTTTACTTGACAGATATTTGCTTAATTTAAGAACCAAATACAACTAAAGTGAATTGATAAAAATATGGCTTTCTTAAAAGAAATACGTGTCAACAGAATGTAGAAGCTGATAAATATATAGTGTACTCGGTCACGTATTATACTGACTGTTTGATATGAAATGTAATTTTTAGAGAGTACTTACAGGACGGTTACTTTACAGCCTCAAGAATAATACGTCATTGTATAATAACCATAGACCTAGTACAGAATAGTCACGGTAGCAGCTGTGCAATGTATTTGACTCAAATTGAATCTCTTTTCAGGACTGGTCTAGCTATTTTATATTTTCTACAATTATATCAGAAGATCTCAACAAATTGAACAGTGTGCGAGGAATTTTTAAATATAATAACCAATGAAAGATAAAGCTAATTCTTACCTCAAAATAATGACCGTCCCTCAACATTACAGCTCAGTGTTTGTCTTTGTTAAATATCTTGATAAGGTATAATTGCGAGCAGGTGCGTGTTTTACTGGACAGTCTCTCTGCGCTCCTGAAACGTTGTTTACACTATCATTCAGCGTTCAGTTGTGTGTTGTGTAAATTTTGACTCTGCTTCAGCTTTAATTGTTTTTATCTTTAACTTTATGCTTAAGTTTTTAATTCCTTTACCGTAGTCGGTCACGTAACATTGACTGTTTGATATGAAATCTAAATTATAAATAGTACTTACAGGCCGATGCTGATGGTTACTCTACAGCAGCTCAAGAATAATACGTCATTGTATAGCCGTAAACCTAGTACAGCATAGATACAGTAACATCTGTGCAATATATTTGACACAAATCTCTTTGCCAAGAACTGGTCTAGATATTTTCTACTTTCTAAAATTTTAATTATATCAGATCTCCATCAGGTAGTATGAC